GGGCAGGGCGCACCCACCGGTTGTCGCCCCACCGTTTGCTGTGGGCCACGCCGCCGCGCCAGCTCCTCGCTGAGGGCGGGTGACGGCTGGGGAATTGCTTTTGGAAGAGGGGCAAAAGTTTAGCGAGAGAAGCGGCTGGACTTGTGCCCCTGGCCCTGGCCCTGGCCCGGCACAAGCGCCGCGGGGAGATCTCGAATTGGGCGTTGTAGAATAAACACGCGGAGACGTGGCTGCTCCTACTGCTGCCCGTTACCGTTGATAGATGATCACAGCCTTTGCATAATAAGAGAATTACCCGTATAGCTATTGTTAATAATTACCACTATTTACAAAACGGCCCAGGCACGCTCGTCAGACCGGCCTGCTGCCTTCGGGCCCGCAAGGGACCTGCGGTTGTCCGCCTGGTCTGGGTGCGGACGGCCAGAGTAATACTGGGCTGAGTTCCGAGTGCCACACGTCAAGAAAGGTTTCTTGAAAGCAAAAGCAGGCAGCGTACTCCAGGGGAGAGCAGAAAGAGTCGTCAGAAAGGGAGAAAGCGCAAGATAAAGTTATAAAGAGCTAGAGGTCTTCAGCCTAGAGAAGAAAAAATGGAGGAAAACTGAATAGTGGCAGTTAAAACCATGGAAGTCTCAGGCAAAGTGAAAGGAAACAACCTGAACCTCCAAGTCCTTAGTGGATATGAAGATAAAACGTGCTTTATTTGCAGCAAGAAAGATTGCTGTTACCTGTTAGCAAAAAGCTTTCTAACAGTTAGGGTGGCAAACACCTCAATAACTTGTCTGGGAAGGTTTTAATATAGCCAGGGCAGGGCCGTAAATCAGCTGTCGTGTTGAAGCAATCTGTAGCCTAACTTTACATTGCTCTATGACTCCTGCTTGATTGACAGTGAACATAAATCATAAAACCCACAGAAACTTAGGGTTTTTTAATGTAGTTTGCATTCATGAGACACTGATGTAAACATCTGGCACAAGATACAGGGCATTGGAAAATGCAAGTCCTATATTGTGAAGTATATTTCATATACCTCACATGAAAACCTCAAATATTTAATCCCTAAACACATTTTATTATCAGTAGTTAGTGCTATTTTAGAGATTAGAAAAAATAAGGCTGATTAACTGCCTTCTGTGTAATCGCACAAGTCAGTAATGGAAGAAGGAATAAAAACTCCTGCATCTTAATTTCCATCACCTCTCTTTACCATCACCTAGTTTACCTAGTTTCTCTTAGACCTGTCCTTAAGATTTTTTTTAATCTGTTTGGCAAACTGAAAGAAACAGGTAAAGGGTCTGTTCATTGCACAGTCTCACGAGGCAGAAAACTTAAGTGGTAAATCAGCTCCCCAGCAAGATGTTTTGCTGAATCTCATGAGGGGTGCACAAGAGTCTTCTGGGATAGGATGGCAGCTACAAGAATGTAGCTCTTGTTGGTACTTGCAGGCATTTGCATGTGCTGGTGGGAGGAAGTTTAAATTGCCTGAATTCCTAACTGTGAGTTGCACTCTGCATAAATCAGAGTGGGGGTTACCTCCAGCAGGACTGGTGAAGCCTAGATGAGCAATAGCAAGCTCCATTACTACAGTGTTTTGTGGACTAGAGTCATGATTAAAATGCTTACAAAATGTACCAGAGGCAGAATAATTAAGGATATCAGAGTATATAAAAACACAGGGAAGCAAGGATTGCTTACCTGAAGAATGGACAGATTCAGCAAAGTCCAGGCTGGGTTCTCAGCTGACCTCAAGGAATTTAGCATCTCACTGAAATGGAATAGGAGATGAATGCCTGTTTCTTTTTGACTGCCTCCTTTTGCGAGTTTCCTGGTAAACTACCTATGAATTAATGTTTTCCTTCTGGTTTTGTTTCCATTGTTCTTTCCTTTTTCTCCCAGTCTTTTGCATGCCCTTTTCTTCAATCCTCTTCCTTCCTTTTTATTCTCCTTGAAACTTAATTAAAACTGCAGAAACTATGCACTAAAAAGGCCTTTGACATACATCTGTTTTCCTCAAATTTCAAAGCTTTTATTAGTCTGACAGCAAAACAGTTGTCATAAGTTTTATTTAACATAAATGGTAAAATTCTTCGCAATAACTGACTTGTGATCAGTTTCACAAGTGATCTGTCCTTGGGTGGTTCAGTAACTACTCAGTGCTGGAACAGGCTGGGAGCATGAGGGCTCTCCCTTTTGGCTCAGACACATGCCTCCTAGGCTCCTCCAGTCTACTGGTGAACGTGTCCTGACACTTATAACTCTTAAAATATGTAGCATTTTATTTTGTACTGAGACTGACTACTGCTTGAGCTGCTGAGTGTGCCACAAGTGCTATATTTCAGTGGGTTTATATTTAAGTTGGAAGTGATGTTTCTGACTTTAAAGGGATCATGAAAAGCCATTTCTTCTTTGAACCTTCATTATAGGCATGGGTTATTAGAAAGCAAAAGCCAGCATAAAGATTAAGGAAACTATGACTGAATTTCTTTTATGACTAAAAGGAGTTATAAAAGCTGGCCTTAGTGGTATGCTTTCTTACTGAAGTGCAAAGTAAGAGTTCTTAAGCTAGCAAGTAAACAGTTAAACTTCAGCCAACACAGGCTCGCATAAAACTGATGTACTGTTTACATCCCTTTAAAAGTTTCACAGTAATAAATGTAATGTGTGCTATAGTGCTTTCTTCTATTGATAACTGCCATACAGGATGGCTTAAAAACCAGCCTTGAATCAATTCACAATTGATGTACAGACTGGGAATAAGCTCACAAAACCAATACAGCACTGCAAAACTCTTAATGATAGCACAGCTTTGAAAACTAGCACACTATGGAGACAGAATTCAACACTGCAGTGCAGATCTTGCTCCCAGGATCAGCCCACTATGTCTCCAGGACGACCATGCAGCAGGATAGTGGTGAAAAGTGGGTAAATTCCCTGCTTGGCTATTTATAAAGGTGCTGTTATATAATGTGGTGATCTGATATAGCCTTTATTGCTACTTAAAGAGGAGATCCTGCTCTTACCAACTGACATGCACCTCTGTGCTCCCAGCTGTGCACTCCTGCTCCCCTCCTTCCCCTTCACTGGTTCCCTTTTACTGTACATCAAGTCAGTTCAGGTCACCGGTTGGGCAGAAAACAGATTCAGCAATAAAAATTAAATTGTTTTCCAACAGATTAGTGATTCGAATCGGCTCATTTTGTGATGAGTACCAGAGCGTGATCCAGAAAGGTGAAGGCAGCGCAGCCTGAAGTGGAAGCTGTCGGTGGGGAGCAGCATCCCTTGTTCTGAAGGCAATCAGTCTTTAGACTAGTTCAGCTGTAACACGCAAGCCCAAGAACGCGATATGGCATCAACTGGAAGGGAATAAATTCTTCGCTTGTCTGTCCTTTCGGTGGCACCCCGCAGTACTGCAGGTTGTGTTGTGACCGTGTACTCAAGGCAAGTATTAGGACTGTTTATAATCGCTTTATAACTCTCTATCAGGTAAAACTGGTTTGCTTTGACTGTGTAGAATACGCACACCCACGAGCTGCGTAATTAGCCTCAAACCGTGTTCTTTGCCAGAGGAGGTTGCTCCGGGAGCGGGGTGTCTCCTTTTTCCCCTCCATCCCCTTCAGGCCCTGTTCCCCGCCGCGGGTGGGGAGGTGCTGGCAGGCGGCAGCCCTCCTTGCGCCTTCAGGGCCGCCTGGCAGGGCCGGCCGTCCCTCCCTCCCCGCAGCTCCGGCAGGGACCGCCCTGCAGCCCTCCCCACAGCCCGGGGGCCGCGCTGTCCCGGCGCCATCTGCTGCTCGGCGCCATTTCGTCCTCCGCGCCGGC